ACTCCGTTTTTCCACCAAGTTACATGCTGGCCTCCAGGCAAATGTTTGCCACGTTTTGGCTCCTACCCGACAAGTTCATTCGCCCGAGTAAATGGTTCTGTTCAACTAGTTTGTCTAACAGGGTCAGTCTCCTTTGCTTAATCCCAATCTACGGTCACCTGTGGAAGGGAACAGAGTCATTGCTTACGCGATCCTGCCATTTAACCTTCATTATACGTCCAAGCTAACGCTGCTGCATGTAGCTCAACGTCGCTCTTGCTCTTTCGTTAGAGCTAGGACACCTGTCTCCATGCCATACGACAACACCGACCTGACGGAGGCAAGAAATGGCAGAGGCGAATTTTTCAGGGGCAGGGGCCACCCGTTTCTCCGCCCACATATTTGACAGGCCTCCAAAAGCACTGGAAACTATGGAGATCTTCGTATTTAATTCTGACTGGATAATACCACTACTGGAGATGATGGAGCCGGGATCCTTAAACTGGTCCTTAAACTTCCTGAAGGGCTTCACTTCCCTGTTCCACCTGTAGGTCAGCTGTGCCGTACGAGTTCTTCGTGACTTTTCACTTCCGAACGCTCAGGAACAGACCGGCTTTCGCAGCTACAGCAAACGAAAGCTGTCAGATAACAGAGTCAGCTCCCCTTGCCACTCACCTGAACAATATCATCCGCATACTGCAAGTAAGCAAGGTACATAGCCTGATATCTCGAACCGAACCTTTCCTTTAAAACGTGGCCTATATCTTTGCCAGCGTCAGCATTGCTTCAGAGAAGAAAGTAGCGTCTACGTGACATGCGCTTCTGCACTTCGCTGTTGCACACCGTCCTCGGCATGGAGGAGAAGGAGGACTTTTACAGAACGGAAGGAGGACCTTCTTCATACACCCTCAGACAGCACTTGCTTGTAACGCCGATTCCGTCGCGTCCTTGGTTCTCGTTACGTGTTAAGTAGGCTGTAGATCGATGCGCGACAACTTGTGGTGAGTGTTCGATAGCCGCACGAACTCCGGCAACGGAACTTACGTGAGAGCGAAGAGAACGACCTCTAACGCAATGCGGCTCCGCGTAAAAAGAGGCGATGGCAAGTGGCCACAAAGAGCATACGGTACGGGATGGCGAAATTTGCCGCTTAGCCTGTTGTCAGCCGACGCTCGATCAGCATACCAAAACTAGACCGACTACCATCTGGCCGGTTATACGTTTTCCCCGTGCTGCTTTGTTTACTTATGCCATTGTTTGGATGCCGTTTTATTGACTTTTAGTCAGCAAAAACAAATAAACCTTCACGGCAGAAATTTCGAGCTAGAAAAAGGTCCCACGTCTTACGAGCTGAAGTTGCCATCGTCGGAACCATATAACCAGATTCAATTTCTACCATAGTCGAAAAAGCGAGGAAATTCGTCATCGTTTAAATCCTGGCCGTTCTTGCATTCACAAGATGAGCGCCATATGTGGTACTCTTCCTTCACGGTGCAGCGCTGATCTCGTCATTTCGATAGCATAAGCATTCCAGTAGGCAGTTCTCTCCGAAAGCAATATTTATAGCCACGCGGCAAGCGCATCATGTCTTCTTCCCGTGCAACGAACGAAAACTTTGTAGCCGTTGAAATGTAGGTTTTAGTTACACTTTCACGATCGAGGAGGCAATTCCACGACCCTTCTTATGGTGAAGTTCATCG